AGTAGCAGCCGTTCATGGTTTTCTTCCTTCTGCCCTGCCCGGGGAGCCCAGCCTGCCACAGAGACAGGAGGCTGCACCCTCTTTCCGTGGGACGCGACTGGAAGCAGGATCCATGGCAACATTCCAGAAAACCAGCATTCTTTACATTTGTTTGGCTTTTAATAACATTAATGCTGAAGGAGCGAGAGAGAAAGGAAGAAACGAGGGGGGAGGTGCAGGAAGACTGTTCTCAGAGTATGTGGACAAAGTCTCTCCTGTCAATCGATGTTGACCATTCTAGCAACACGCCAATAAAATTTCAAATTGAAATTTTTTTTTTAATTTTTATTTCATGGCTTTAATCCATGATAAGTTTTAAACATCTGGGGCCATGGATGTGGATCTAGCTAAATGAGTTTCTAGCTAATATTTGCCTTGCAGCCAACCAAAAGCATCAGTCACACTTTGCTAATGGGGAGGGGAAGGAGGGGCTGGGTGGCAGCGGGGTTGAGGGGGAGACAGATGAGGGGAGAGGTAGAAGTCTGCTTGTTTTGTTTCTCAACACTGTTGCTTCAGACTGTAGCAACAACCAAAATTTTGTCCCAGCCAACTCTGGCAAGATATTAACAGGGGAAAATGCTCTCACATTTTTGAGACGTAGCACAATTTAAATATTTGTCTTCTTTGCTTTCTGTTCACAGCTCTCTGCTAGTGTCGTAATAATGCATAAGCTCTTTTCACCTCTTCCCTCCCTGACTTTTTTTTTTTAAAAATTAAAAAAAAAAAGTTGGTGAGCAGCACTTTGCCTGAAACTAAAATCCTTGGTTGAAGTGGTGTATTTTTGAGAACGGTATACTCAATGTTGCTCCTCAGAGATCCAGCCTCTGGGATCTCATGCTTGAGCTGTGGATTTGTATTGCTGTAGTGATTTCTCACTGCACCACTGCTTCAATACCTCTTCATGCACAGGTCAACAGAATTCTGCAAAAAGCAAATAGGTTTGAATTCTGCATGTTGCCTCTTTGAAACAGCAATTTATTGCATATTTACAGTTCCACTTAAAGAAAATATATGTGATGTGGCCAAGTTCATCTTGCTTTTCACATTCCAAGCAACTAAAAATCCTGTTCAGTCTAAGTTTAGAAATCCAAGCTGCATTTAAAAGATGCCTTTTAACGTGATGTGAGCAATGCATTGTCTGTATTACAGATCCTGTTCACTCATTACTGAATTCTAAGTTTTGAAGTGAAAGATCAGAGTATTATATATATTAAAAAAAAAAAAATCTAAGCAAGTATACTGAGGCATTTCTAGAGCTGTCTTTTTTTTTTTTTTTAATTATCCTGAGTGGCATATAACTTGTAATAACCATTTTGTCTTTGCATGTATTAGTACTGGAAAGAAAACGGATTTGTTTTTGTGCCCTCTTCCCACATTAATGTCAGATGGCAGAACAAAAGTCATACCCCTCTTCTGTATACAAAATACACTCCACCCCCTATCCATGTACTGTGTCCTGGCTCCTTTTTATATTAAACAATGTCAAAAGCAACCTTGTTGCAACAGTAATTTCATTTCTATAAAGTGTTTGCCTCCCATAGCTGAAGCTGTGAGGGTGGAGTGTACTTCATTATAATAGAAGTGTCAGCGTAAACATCTTTTTTTGATCCAAAAAACTCCCTACAATTAAAAGAAAAGCCCCACAAATGGCACACCTTTAGTGAAGGTCATCTGCCTGACTGTGTTTGCTGATACACTTGGCAAAGTTGTGTTGTAACAGGCAGTCTTACTTTTATCCCCTCCCCTAAAATACATTTGTTAGTACAACATGGGGTAAAAATGTGAATTGTCGTTACTGTCAAATTACTGCTGAAATAGCCTCAAGTCACAAAATACCTTTTAATGAGTGTGGAATATTTAACTTTATATTGGCAATAGTTGCCGTCTGATAATGGTAGCTTTTTCCATAATATTAACAAAGTCCTCTACATAGTATTTGTGTATCTTAGTTATTATACTGGATTAGATCTCCCAGATTATCTGTTGGAACTGATTTCTGTCGCATTTGGTGGGAGCACTGCGAGACTGCAGAAGGGCACAGGCTTTGCACTCAAGGCACTTAAAAAAGTCGAAACTTAAGTGGTAGAAGAAGGAAGAGTGGGCAGAAGTAATTTATTTTAATTTCCCCTTATAAAAAAAATATACACTAGCAAGCTGAGGTTGGAAGAGGCAGGGAGAGTTACATGAAGAGGGAATAAATGATAAAGTGTTTTATGAAGACAGGATGAGTTAGGTAGAGTCACAGTGTTATTTTTTTATTTCTGGAATGCTTTTTCTTCAAATTGCTCTTTGATGAATAATACAGAGTTAGACAGTCCTTGCAAGAACAGCATCGCATGTCCTCACTAGTAAGAATTTGAAGCCTACTGGCTTTAAACTTTTCACAGTGCTTTCCAAATACTCTGTTGCTGTATCTAAACAGCCATTTTAACTCTGGGGTTTTTTTGTAATGATTTACTACCCTGGTTCATAAACACAGTAATTTTCCTGCTTTACCTAGCTAGATGTCAAATGGTATTTTGTAGTATGCAAGGGAAGTGACAGGAACTAGTCTATGTTTATTTATTCAATCTCTGTCAGAAGTCTTTGGCTTCACTCCAAATTTGTATAGATAAAGGTAAAGGCAAAATTGAGGCCCTAGTCCCTTGCATAAGGTCTGGAGAAAATGTATTGGAAATATTCACAGATGGTGTCAGTCTAGAATATAGTATTGCCATGACTATGTTCAAGTCGCAGTCTGTTATTAACAACAGATGCCCACACAGATCCTTTTTTTTTTATTTCTTTCGCTAGGTTTCAGTGCAGCTACTGACAGCAACCTGGTCCTGATTCATAGTCCACTGAAGGTAAAAGAAAGGCTCTCACTGACTTCACTGAGCTTTGGATCAGATTTTACTGCTTAGAAGGTGGTTAAAATTTGTGGACCTTGAGGTGAAGTGAGATTTAAGATGGCATTTCGAAGACCAGAAGGGCCACCTTTCTGAGACGGAAGACAGTGGAAATAGGCAATACTGTGAAATTAAGGGAGGCAAACGGTTCTGAAACAGGCAGGGTTCACCTGAGATGGCAGTAGGGAAATGGTGAATAAGAGTGAGTGAAAAGTGGATGTAAAAAGTTATTCAGTGCCTTGAAACAAGAAATGGAAAGCAGGGGAGCAGTCAGCTGTGACAAAGGCAGTGATGTGAATGACTGACAAGCAAAATATGTAATTGATTATCCTCATCTTTCAGGATCAGTGACCTGCCTAAGTTAACATTTCCATTTCCAGCAGTAAAGATATTGACAAATTATATTATATCTGTGGAATCTGTTTACATTCTTCAGTCTAGCTACCTAGGGTAAATATTTATATCTCATTCATTGCTCTTGAAGTACTGACTTGTAATATGACTGCAGTGTTAGGATGCTTTGCACATCTTTCTTCTGTGTCACATTTCAAGCTTTGTGTTAGCTACTGGGTAGCAGTTTTATAGAATCTCTTTTGCTTGGATGCGATTTTCTTTGTCTTTTCAAAATGCAATCTTCTGAATTGCTTTGAGGCTAACACTTTATTAAAAATTCAGTTCATGTCCTCTTGAAATAGAGAGCCTTTGTGAAAGGTTTTACTGTCATGACCAAAATGTTCACTGGTTATTGGCTGCGCATATAGGTAAAGGACTGTAAGGATGGGTAGCAAAATACATTTTGTCACTAGCAATTTTTTTTCTCTATCTTATGTTTCTAGGTTACTTTGCTTTTATTTATGAGGATATTTTTCCCCACTTAAGTCATTATGGTTGTATAAAATGGAAACAAACAAAAAACTCCAAGGAAAAAACAAGACTTCCTGGTGTGTTTTTTCAGGGCAAGGTGTATTTCTTAGGGCAATATGTTACTGATCCGTATGTGGATTACAGATTAAAACAGTATGGCAGGATATGGCCTTCGAGGTGTGGCTAGAAATGGCCTTTGGTCTGTGCTAGAGTGTGTACAGTCTTAATTATCCTGCCTCATTTCGGTTTAGTGTCTTCATATTCAGGTAAGTGATGTGCAAAAAAAGCTGTCAGTTTTTAGATGTGTTTATGCAACATGTTGAACATCGGTAAGTCCAACCAATGTCCTCTGGAGCTGAGGGAGCACTGAATCTCATTTGAGACACCCAGCATCTTGTAGGATCAGGTACCTCAGCCTGTCTGGCTCCCAGCCCTCTGTCTGAAGCTACAGTGGGCTGGGGTAGCTACTGCTAGTTTTAAGATTTAATTATTTTCTGTAAAAATACTAGAGTAACTTAACAATGCTCTGTCCATAATTCTGCCTCGCTGTGACTAAAAAGTTCTGTGTGTTACCGCTTATGCTGTGCAAGCAGTGTGTTTTCTGCTTTGTAATCAAGCAAAAAGGTAAAAGTCCCAGTCCCAAAGAATTAATCCAGAAATATGTAAAGAGCTATGATTAGGCTACCATGATGAGGGCAGTTTCACTGCAGAATTAGGGTCTAAAGAATAACAATATTTGACTAGAGTGTGATCAGGTGCTGCTGCTAGTTCATGAGTGTCAGTGTTTCCATGGCAAGTCTGGAATTTATTTTCTTACTTTCTTATTATGAAATACTTAACTTCTATGTACCTTGAGTTCAAACTTGGCACGTGAAACTCCCTTATGCTCATGGATCCTTTGACACAGTGTTATTTTAATCTGTCAGGGTATTTTTATGTTTTTATTGTGAAGAAAATTAATGAATACTGGGATCAGATACTTTCTTGAACTGCTTGTAAATCAGAAATGCAGTAGAGCAGATGTTAAGCTGGAAAAAGGCAGTGAAATAAGGATCTTCTCTTACAGTGGATTTACTTCAGATTGTATAGATATAATCTATACAGATATAAACCACCAGCCCTGTTTCTTTTAGGGTTTGGGTTTTTTTTAATGGTACCCTGCCTT